AAATTGCGACAAATCGACATCGCAAACGCATTCCTCTACGCACCTGTGGATGCAGAAATCTTCATCGAGTTTCCGCACGGCTCCCACGGCGAACCCAACCGAGTCTGCCAACTGCTTAAGTCGCTCTACGGGATCAAGCAGGCACCGCGACTGTGGCAGCAGTACCTACACGCCCGCCTTATCCGCATCGGTTTCAAAAAACTCCCGCATGACCAGGGCATGTATCGCCTCACAAAGGGTAGCGACTACGTCCTCCTAATCGTCTACGTGGACGATCTCCTCTACATTGGGTCAACCGACGGCATCGCCACGTGGTTCGAAGGGGAGCTTCAGAAAGACCTCACACTCACGGTCTCTTCTACCGTTACGCAGTACCTCGGGCTCAACATCCGCGAGGAAGAAAACGCAATCTACCTAAGCGCCGAGAAGTACGCCGACACCATCGCGAAACGTTTCGGCCTCACACCAAGCGCCATCTCCACGCCTTACCGTTACACGTCAGGAACCGAAAAGGGACGATCTACTCTACTCAAGCCTGCCGGCATACGCGACTATCAGAAGAAGCTCTGATGTCTTCTCTTCGCAGCAGTCACATGCCGTCCCGACTTATCCTACTCCGCGAGTCAGCTCGCCACCTATCTCAAGAGGCCTGAAGCAGAGCATCTGGCGGAACTCGATCGCGCTCTCCACTATTTCGCCAGCACCGCGACGATCGGATTAACTTATCACAAAAACGCAACTACACCGACCAAGCTAATCGGCTACGTCGACGCTGATCACGCCGGCGACACCGATAACAGGCGCTCACGCACCGGCTATGTCTACCGCCTCGAGCCTATCGGTCCTATCTCCTGGCAGTCGAATAAGTTAATCGCACTATCTTCAGCTGAAGCAGAATACATCGCACTCCGCTCAGCCACCAAGGAGGGACTTTACCTTCGCGAACTGCTGGAAGAAGCGAAGCTAGCCGAGTTACCCAGCTTCACCGTGTTCTGCGACAACCAGTCAGCAATTCGCATCGCCAACAAGAACGGCTTCGCAAATAGGACGAAACACATCGCCCTACGCTATTTCTTCGTGAAGGACGAGATCGAAAAGGGGAAACTCGATTTGTCATACTGTCCCACGTCTGAGATGGCAGCCGATTACTTGACCAAGAAGCTCGGAAAGCAGAAGTTCGAATACTGCATGCTGCTGACTGGACAAGGCCACGTCCACAGCAGCGACACTCCAGAAGCGAAGGGGAGTGTTGGAAACAATAAATCCTAATGCGCCTCTGTCGTGTCAAAACCCAAGACACTAGCGAAGCACTCCGAATCGAAGCATCGAGTCAAACCTCGGAGGTTAGGGTAACCGCCTGGAGGTTACGGGAAAGTCAAAGGTCAGCGACCTTTGACTCGACAATTACAGCGCGACAGTTAAGGACACACAACTGACTCGTTACAGAGCAGTTGCCCGAGTCGCACTGTATCGAATCGCAACAGCAATACAGTTATCTATCTATTCGTATTCCCTGTACTCTTATATAAAACCTTGTATTTGCTTGTTTAACTTAATCTACTTTGCTCTCACACACTAGTGCAAGGTCGGTTCACAAACTTCATTAAACGCTTCCGCTATTACAAATTTCCTAGCCATAGTTATCCTCTGCAAAGATCCTTAGGGCTTTCTCAGCCCAACATGGTATCACGAGCAAGCGTTCAAACACTTGGACCTCTGGGAGCAGCTTCATTCAGTTTGGCTCACCACCTTTATCATCACTAGGAGCATCTCCTGGAGCAGGTCAGAACCTGCCACTACCCACGGAGAATTTCGTGGAGGAAATCTTCAACGCGCCGTCGCATAATTTTGGGCGACTTGGCAAGACGCATTTCAAGGCGTACCGGTGAAGTCCCTGACGAGGACTTCAGAATTTCAACATGGAGAATTTCATCTCTCTTGGATTCTACACTTCTAACAGTGGAGGGGAGTGTTGGAAATATATTTGTGTGTTATTTATCTTGCAGTGCAGTGTTCGAAGTGCAGAAGCGAAGCCCTCAATATCAGGGGTGTTGACTCAAGTATCGAACTGCAGGGGCGCAACCGCGTACAGTGGTTGCGACTCGCGTGGCAGCCGAAGGGTCGAATTGAGCAAGAGGCAGCGTCTACAGTACGCGAAACCACCCTGGAGGCGCGGCAGAATACCGCGCCCTTGCCGAAGCTGAAAGGTCTCGCCAGTAACTGGGCAACTGAAACATTACAGCGCAACTGTAATACAGTTGCGCTTTGGTAGCTGCCTCCCTGCTATGTTTCCTATATAACTCAATGTACTGCCATGCTATCATTACACAATTCTCAAGCTTGTGTCCGGCCTACCCTCGGCCGCCGCTTTGGCACCAAGTTACAAGCCAGGAGAGCTACCTCTGAGTGACCATAGCCCCGCCGCTGAGACGTCGTTATTTCCTAGAGTATTTCCGCTACTCTAGCGACCTCCTAATTTCAACATGGTATCAGAGCAAGCGTTCAAACACTTGGACCTGTGGGAGCAGCTTCATTCAGTTTGGCTCACCACCTTTATCATCACCAGGAGCATCTCTTGGAGCAGGTCAGAACCTGCCACTACCCACGGAGAATTTCGTGGAGGAAATCTTCAACGCGCCGTCGCATAATTTTGGGCGACTTGGCAAGACGCATTTCAAGGCGTACCGGTGAAGTCCCTGACGAGGACTTCAGAATTTCAACATGGAGAATTTCATCTCTCTTGGATTCTACACTTCTAACAGTGGAGGGGAGTGTTGGAAATATATTTGTGTGTTATTTATCTTGCAGTGCACTGTTCGAAGTGCAGAAGCGAAGCCCTCAATATCGGGGGTGTTGACTCAAGTATCGAACTGCAGGGGCGCAACCGCGTACAGTGGTTGCGACCCGCGTGGCAGCCGAAGGGTCGAATTGAGCAAGAGGCAGCGTCTACAGTACGCGAAACCACCCTGGAGGCGCGGCAGAATACCGCGCCCTTGCCGAAGCTGAAAGGTCTCGCCAGTAACTGGGCAATTGAAACGTTACAGCGCAACTGTAATACAGTTGCGCCTTGGTAACTGCCTCCCTGCTATGTTTCCTATATAACTCAATGTACTGCCATGCTATCATTACACAATTCTCAAGCTTGTGTCCGGCCTACCCTCGGCCGCCGCTTTGGCACCAAGTTACAAGCCAGGAGAGCTACCTCTGAGTGACCATAGCCCCGCCGCTGGGACGTCGTTATTTCCTAGAGTATTTCCGCTACTCTAGCGACCTCCTAATTTCAACATGGTATACTGATTCGCGGCTCGGATGAACAGTAATGACCTCAAAGTCACTTTCGAGTTGGGCGCCGGGTGAGTCGAGGGTCAAATTTGGGTGACCCCAACCTGACATACCCTATGACCCTCGTGTGACTTCCTCAATTAACCGGAAGGTGACTTCGAAGTCGATGTTGGGTTAGATTTCGGTCGTCAACTTTTTGAGATGGACATACAGCATGCCAAGAGACATTCAGCGAGCAAATCATTGTACCACAGGACAGGACATGCAATTTAGCATGCAATGCAACATTCAATGCAATTTGTCATGTCATGCAGGCCATTGTGTCATGCAGGCCATTGTGTCATCATGGGACAATCAGCATGCAGATTGGATTGTGATTGTGTCGGGGTTGGCAATGTTGGACTTGGCAAGTGATCCCATTTCAAACCCACCATTTTTGAATGTGTTGGGTTTCCACCCACGTTTGAACAACTTTGAGAGTTTCAGGCGTAGGATTTGAGGGTGGCTCTGTTTGACTGCACATTTACCACAAGCTGCATGTGTAAAGCTTGCTTAGCCCCCTATAATTATTTCATGACTACACACACATGCATGTACTGATAATGGGAGCACTGTGGAAGATACATCTGGAGGCTTGTCAAGGTCCTCAGAGGAAGTTGGGTTGAACTATCCATATCCCATTGTTTAACATTTGAATTGCACTGTATCTATGCATACGGGTGCTGTAATGGATGGATCTCTTGAATAAGGCATGAACACTTTATATCGTGAGAATACCCAAAAGCCATCCAATGTGCACATAGCCAGCAGGCAAGGCGTTACAAAGCCACATGCCCACACAGGCTAGATGGACCAACCTTTCAGTATCTCATGATTCAGCGCAACAGCATCTTCACAACTTCCAATGGAACAGCTACCGGTAGTACCGTACCGCCGTACAGTACAAGATGTCTTTTGGGTCAGATCAACTCCAGCCTCGTGTACATTGCAATTTGCAAGCCATAGTGAGACAAAATAAAGAGGGAAGTTCTCCGATATGGCAGCCACCCTGCACCTGCCAGCCACAGAGAGATGGTGATGGTTGAGCAGGGAACTCATATAGTGAGACTCAGATTGCTGGTGATGGCGATGGATGGCGATGGATGGCGATGGATGGCGATGGATGGCGATGGATGGCGGTGGATGGCGATGGATGGCGATGGATGGCAATGGATGGCGATGGATGGCGATGGATGGCGATGGATGGCGATGGATGGCGGTGGATGGCGATGGATGGCGGTGGTGGTGCTGGTGGTCGGGCAGGGCTTATGAAGAAGTGGCAATCTCATTGCAGCAGGGCGGCAAAAATACAATCATAACCACTAAACAGCTTGCACTCAAGAAGCAAGCAACCTGCAGAATTCTGCAATGGAAACAGAAAGTAATGCTCGGATTAGCCAGATCTAATCTACCACGCTTGCTTTGACCATACTGCCTTACTTTCCTCATACTGCCTGGACTTACCCGTGCCGCCCACCAACAAGGAGGTCTTGGATTAAAGGTGCTTTGCCCGATTAGAGTTGCACCTGTTGAACGCCTTCCGTGTCAGTAGTGATCCTCACACTTGCAGGGAGGTGAGGTGAGCGAGGAGTGGCATTGCCTTGGGCGATTGATCGTATAGCATTATGGCTCATCGCTGATGGCTTATGGCTTATGCCTCATGGCGCATGCCTCATACCTCATGCTGAGGTAAGGACAACCGAAAAATCGCGTGCTTCTTCCCTGTCACGCCTCTCCACCTTCATGCTCCATAAGGACAGGAGAGGGAAGGCGGGAGAGGGAAAGAGCCGAAGAGGGAAAGGGGGGAGAGGGAAGTGGGTTAGAGGGAAGGGATGGAGAGAGGGAAGGGATGGAGAGAGGGAAGGGATGGAGAGAGGGAAGGGATGGAGAGAGTGAAGGGATGGAGAGAGGGAAGGGATGGAGAGAGGAAAGGGATGGAGAGAGGGAAGGGATGGGGAGGGAATAGGGGGAGAGGGAAAGGGGGGAAAGGGAAATGGGGGGAGAGGGAATGTGGGAAGAGGGGAGGGTGTGGAGAAGCAATCACTGACAACTCCTACAGCAGCATTGTGGGGCGGCTTCCAATGCCACAGGGGCCGAGACTGATGCCAGAGAGAGTGACAGTGGTGGCGATGCAGGCGAGGAGGGAGCGAGAGCGGCAAGAGAGGCCAGCGGAGATGGATGCTACTGGCTGCACCATGCACACCTAATAATTAGGGGGAGGGGTAGGATGACGATGGGGGTGGCGATGGGAATGGGGAAGGGGAGCGGGACGTTGACGGGTGAGGGGATGGGAAAAAAGAAGGGGATGGGGATGGGGATGGGGATGGGGATGGGGATGGGGATTGGGATGGGAAAAGGAAAGGGAAGGGAGAGGGAATGGGGGGACTATGATGGGAAGTGATGGTCGCGGTGATCGGAAGAAGGGGGGACAGAGGGCGAGAGTGGTGAGACTGGTGAGGGAAACGGTGAGTGATGGATGCTGCTGCCTGCGCCATGCACAGATGATAAGTGGGGGAGAGGGGGAGGATGACGATGGGAATGGGGATGGGGATGGGAATCAGGATGGGAAAGGGGAAGTTGAAGGTGGAGGGGATAGTAAGGTAAATGGGATGGAAATGGGGAAGGGGATGGGGATGGGGAAGGGGATGGGGATGGGAAAGGGGAAGGGAAGGGGAAGGGGAAGTACAGGGGCAGTGATGGGGAGTGACTTTTGCACGATGCGCACCTGGCGGAATCGGAAGAAGGAGTGGGGCAGTGGTAGAGAGTGGTGAGATTGGTGATAGGGAGACGGTGATTTATGGACGCTGCTGGCTGCACTATTCACACCTAATAAGAAGGGGGGGCAGAGGGAGAGGCCGGTGGGACAGCCCAGGAGGGGCACGAGGGAAGTGGCAGTGAGGTGATCGAGAGAGAGAGGCGGTGGGTGACGGGAATGGGGAAGGTGGGGAGGGGAGAATGTGGTTAGTGCCCTGTGGGAGGCTGAGTGCCCTGTGGCTGAGTGCCCTGTGGCTGAGAGATGTATAAGTCTCCCATGGATGAACCGCCACTGAGCACTCAGCCTCTCACGGATCAACCTCCAGCTTGTCTGGACCAACAAAACCTCAAGGATAACTGATCACCCGAGACTGACCCAAGAGTGACATGCAACTGACCCACATGCAACCCATGCCTCTCACAGCGTGCACCTAGTTCTGTCGCTGCTCGCCCTTCAAAAATACAACTGCCGGCACCTAGCAACCTCGCTACTAGTGACTATTTGGTGGCCCATAAGCAGTCCTTGTTCTTCCCACCACGCACCTCCCTCAACCTTTGCTCATCCCGGAGGAAAAAAACTGCCATGAGCACGAGACACCCAGCACCCCCCCAAGCAACGCTCACTCGTTATCTGCTGGAGACTCACAACCATCAAGAAGCCCAACCCAGCCCACTATTATTTACTCAGAGCGCACCTGCAGGATATGCGGATTGGAGAAGAGTGATGAATGCTGCTGGCTGCACCATGCACACCTGGCGGATGGCAACGGGGATGGGGACGTTGAAGTTGAACCGGAGGGGGGGAGGCCCTGGGTGGGAGGGGAGGGGATGGAAAACACGATGGGAATGGAGAAAGGGGTGGGGATGGAAAGTGTAAGGGGAAGGGAATGGGGGATTATGATGGAGAGTGATGGTTGCATATGCGCACCTGGTGAGTGATCGGAAGAAGAGGGACCAATGGGACAGGCCGGTGAGGTGAGTGAGAGAGAGGGAGGCGGTAAGTGATGCGAGGGGAAGAAGGGAATGGTAAATCCCACCTTACCACCTTGGGTCAATAGCACAGCTGCAGGGCATCCAGGAACAGGGCATTCAGGCACAGGGCAATCAAGCACGAGGCATTCAGGCACAGGGCAATCAAGCACGAGGCATTCAGGCACAGGGCAATCAAGCACGAGGCATTCAGGCACAGGGCAATCAAGCACGAGGCATTCAGGCACAGGGCAATCAAGCACGAGGCAAGCTGCGAAGCATCTGCAGGGCATGCAGGAAGCACGAAGGCACGTGTAGCCTCTCGCGGAACAACCTCAAACACAGCTGAACCACCCGCTGACCCGCCACTGACCCGCCACTGACCCGCCGCTGACCCATGCGCAACACACACCTCCTTCTCCCGCTACTCATCTTTGAGGATGCAAACCTCGGTGACCATAAGCTGCTGGCAGACACCCAGTAGCCTCTCTAAAGGTGACCCGCAGCAGCCACGCCCAGCCTCGCCTCATCCGTGACCCACCTAGTGAATCGCAAGCATCAAAGAGCCCAGCCCACCACCACTCACTCACCCCCTCCTCCCTCTGCTCGTCCGCCTTCAAAAACTGCCACGGGGCAACCAGCAGCCCCGCCCAGCTTCGCCTGCAGCCTCTGCCGTGCTGCTGTAGCAGGGAAGAGTGCGCTGTTCCCTGGAGAACTCCGTGGAGCAGCAGTCGGTGTGGGAGAAGCAGGTGCGGAGCTGAGGGGGGATGGGAGGGGAGAAGGGGGAAAGGGTGAACAGCACAGTGGTTTATGAGAGGGATGTGGGAACCATTGCTGTAGGGTGAGAAGTCGATGTAATGGTTCCCACATCCCTCTCATAAACCACTGTGCTGTTCACAGGGTGAGAAGTCGATGGGTCAGAAGTGGGTGTAGGAGAAGCAGGTTGGAAGCTGGTGGGCGGAGGGATGGAGGAGGGGTGAAAGGAAGAGGGTAATGGGTGTTGAAGGGAAGGTGTTTTGCAGCCTTGACAAGAAGCGCACTCAGCAGGCCGAAGGTTGAAGAATGCACAGGTTCCCCCTGACGCCACTGTGGGCGCCAATTCAGGACTTGGGAACAGTGCGCAGCCTCAGCAGCCCACAGAAGCAGATGAAGAGCTGGGGGGGAGGGATGTAGGAGAGACAGGTGCGGAGCTGGGAGAAGTGGAGGGGTACAATTGGGGAGGGAGGTTAAGAGGAAGGGGACAGGTGAGTAAAATGCTTCAGCAGTAGGGCAGATGTCAGGGACTCACGAGTCGGTGCATGTGGGATACATGAATGCGAGGGAGATGCGATTAGGGGCTGGGTGGGAAGCGGGAATCAGAGCTTGGGAGGGGAGGGGAGGTGATTGAGGAGGGATGGGGAAAAAGGAGTCTCACCTTGGCTGCAACCACCTTCTCAGCTCACCTGGCCTGCCCATCAGCTCCCTCCACTCACTCTAACAACCATCCCACAGCCACTCTCTCCGACTGATCACTGACTCCTCACCGTGGCGATATCCACATTTCCACCTGCCCCCACCCATCACTGACTCTCACCTTGGCGATATCCAGCTTGTTAGCCGTACCCCTTCCCACCATCACCAATGCCAAACGCGTTCCCTGCGCCAGCCCCATCAGCTTCCCCCCCTTTACCTCCTTCTCACACGCCCCCCTACCCCACGGACACCTCTCACCGATTCTCCCGCACATATCCAATCTCTCACAACTCTCAAACACAACCCTACTGCACAGTGACGTCGACTCTCACCTTGGCAATTTCCAGCTTGTCAACCGCACCCCACCCATCTGTGGTAACGTTATGCGGATCCTCGATGGACTCAGCCAACCCCATCAGTGATGCCCCATCATCCCCCCTTCACTGCCCCCTCCCTCCATCCCGCTCTCTTTCGCCCCCCGCCACTGCCGCCGCCAGCGCCGGCGCTTGCGCTGCTTGCGCTGCTTAGCGGTGTCCCCACCCGTCTCCCCGCCTGCCGCAACGCTTGCTACCTGCGTCGTTAATCTCGCCACCATCGCGTGGCCGATTGGGTTTCACGGAACCTGTGGCTTCGCTGTCGGTCGCCGCCGAGCCGCAATTAGAAGCAGAGAACTTAAAGTCACCGCCTTCGCTCGCACCATCCGCCTTCGCTCGAACAACTCGCCTCCTTATACCGCGGTTCCGTCTTCTCAGTCGCTCTCCTAAGGCTGAATCTAAATTACGACTCCTCATATTCCAACTGAGCTCGAAAATGTGGGTCCGTTACGGAGACGTCTCTGCCCTTCCGTTCGCTATATCCGTAGGCAGGGATGCTGCTACTGCCGTAGATAAAAATGGAGGATAAAAATCTACGTATACGCGACCAATGGAGGATAAAAATCTGCAACCGGAAGGAAGACAGACACGTAACTAGTCGTGACAGGGGCTAATAGAATTGACTTTAGGCGGCTCAAAGGAGAGGTGGGTCGGGTCACACCACGACACTCCTATCGAGCACGTTAGGGACAGCGGCGCTGACAGGCACCATCGAAGACGAAAGGCCGAAGAGGGAGGTGCTGGACCGAAGAATGTAGGGCATTTGGGACTCGGAAGCGACTCGATGCTGCTATGCCCGCGAAGACTGTGAGGCATTCGTAATGCGGCACGGAAGAAGCGGGCGGACACCTGTTCGAGGTGCTCTGTGGTGATAGGTCGGCTCTGTGTTGATAATGTTGCCCTAAAAAGGCCGAAGAACGATATGGACAATGAAAAAGTAGCAAAATTGCCTTACCATCCCCGCTAGATGGCTACGCTAAAAGAAATCGTCTTTGCCAGAATGCTGGTGAGTCCTACGTTGAAGGAAATACTGACCATCTCGTGCTGAACAAGTAGCCTGTTACGGGTGCAATGGAGTGAGCGAACGAAGATTGCACTATCTAAACAAGAGTACAATGAGCGAAGGCATGAGCGAAGGATTATATAGCGAAACTATAGTGGTAACGGTAATGGACTGTGGTTGTCGCGCGACGGGCCTGGGACTGAGGTTGGGAAAAGTGTCGAGGCGGAGGTCCGGAGCGCGGGTTACCCCCGAGCCGTGGGGTCGGGGTGCGACATGCGAAAAATGGCGGGCGGATTATTGATGTGAGTGGTAACGGTGCTGACTGAGGTGCTACAGTGATGTACGCGTTGAGCGGGGATGCGAAGTAAGGAAAAGGAATTTTCCTTACACTACCCCCCTCCCCAAGGAGGCCCCTCTTACGAGAGCGCATGGACGTCGCGGAAATTTCGGCTTCGCAGGTACTCGGTGAAGACAGGGTAGTTCTCGATTTTATCCAGGGGGACCCAGTTGTCTTCTGTGGGCGTTCGGTCCTTCCAGCGAATTAGGAACTCGATCCTTCGGGCTCCCCGAGGGTCGCGGACTCGGTGGCTGAGGATTTTTTCAGGGGTGATGATTGGTTCGGTTGGGGGGCGTGTCATGCTGGCTGGGCGATTTCGTGGCAGTTGGCTCGTGGATGGGATGTAAGGGCGAAGTAGGCTGACGTGGAATGACGGGCTGACGTACCAGTCAGCAGGGAGGAGGAGGTGGGCGGTGACGGGTGTGATCATGTGGCTGATGCGAAATGGCCCACAATATCGGGGGCGAAGTTTTGGAGTGATGGGCAAGCGGAGGTTCTGAGTATCGAGTAGTACTAGGTCGTCTGGCTGGTAAGTGACAGGTCGGCGGTGGCGATCGGCGTTGCGCTTAGCGATGATGTTGGCTTTTTTAATTGCGTCTGTTGCCCTGGTCCGTGCTGCTTGCAAAATCTCGGCGAACTGTTGTGCGCGTGGGACTGGATTGTCGGGATTTGGGGTCATGGGTACTGTTGGGTCCTGTCCGTGTCAACTTATATTTGTAACTGCCTGTAGCTGTAGTTAGTGTAGTTATTTAAACTTTGTGTGGTGGTGCACCTTATGTGTTTCCTTTGCTATATGTACTTCGAACCCTATAGTGAAGCACACATTCTCCCAACTTTTCTCAACTCACTCGATACTCTCCCCTAGGAGCAACCCGCTCGACATTCAAGTAGGGCCTAGGCTACTAAGCCTAGGCCCTAGATTAATCTACACTTTAACTCTCGTTCTCAATTTCGACATGTTATCGGAGCTTTTTACGACCTGGCCTGTGGGCCCGCCCTACGCTTCCGCTATGATTTTTCGGTCGCGCGCCTAGGGCGCGTGACGATTTTTACTTAGTCCCGCCCACGGGTGTGTGACTCCTACTCTGCCCGTCGCACGCCCCGAGGCACGCGACGGTGCCCTTCATCTGCCCATCGTGCGCCCCGTGGCACACGATGGTGCCCTGCTCGTCGTGCGCCCCTAGGCGCACGATCGGGCCCTTTTTCTTCTACTACCCGTCGTGCGCCCCGTGGCACTGGCACGCGACGGGCCTTTCCGCCCCTGCTCTCCCTGAAGCCGCCCCTGACCCATCTGCACCGACACCTTTTCGTCGCTCTGCGGCTTTCTTCCTTCCCACCCCCTTCTTCCTTTGTCTCCCTGCAGCCGTGGGGAGGAGGGTATGGGGGTGGAGGGTGTTGGAGTGTGGGGTCAACTCTCTCCCTTCCCCTCCTCCTTCTTTCAGTCCCACCGCTGCAGCTGCCGCTGGGGGGGGAGGGTGTGAGGATGTGGGGGAGCAGGGGGAGTGGTACCCGGGTGGCGGGTGTGAGGCAACATGCAGCCATCCCTCTACCTCTCCTCTCTTCCCCCCTTCTCTGCTGCTCCTGCAGCAGTGTGGGGGAGGGGAAGGAGGAGGGTGAGGAGATGGAGGGGGTGACCACTTAGTGTCAGCCCGCCTGCATTACCTGCTATTGCTTGCCTTTTATTTTGCATGTGTACACCTGCAGGTTGCATTCTGCACATACTCCTGCTGCAGGCAGTTATGGGGGAGTGTCAACTTATATTTGTAACTGCCTGTAGCTGTAGTTAGTGTAGTTATTTAAACTTTGTGTGGTGGTGCACCTTATGTGTTTCCTTTGCTATATGTACTTCGAACCCTATAGTGAAGCACACATTCTCCCAACTTTTCTCAACTCACTCGATACTCTCCCCTAGGAGCAACCCGCTCGACATTCAAGTAGGGCCTAGGCTACTAAGCCTAGGCCCTAGATTAATCTACACTTTAACTCTCGTTCTCAATTTCGACAGTCCGTAGTTCAGGTAAAACGGTGACTGTTGGGTCGTGGCGGAGGGCGAATTGTTGTACGCGAATTCAATGAGTGGTAGTTGCTGTTCCCACGTGTTCGGGTCGTCGCACGTGGCCCGGATGAGCTGCTCCATGGTCTGGTTTGTCCGTTCTGTCTGTCCGTCCGTTTCGGGGTGGTACGAAGAACTGAACTGTAGTCGCGTGCCAAACTGCTGCCACAGGTTCCGCCAGAAGTTGCTGGTGAATTTCGTGTCGCGGTCGCTGATAATTGCCGATGGTATCCCGTGGAGGCGAACAACGGTGGCGATGAAGAGGCGGGCTGTTTCTTCGGCTTTGATTGATTTCTTGCAAGCTGCGAAATGTGCCATTTTCGTCAGTCGATCGACGACGACCAGGATCGCGTCGTTCCCACTCGCCCCGGCCGGTAACCCCGTGACGAAATCCATCGTCACCTGCTGCCAAGCACGCTCTGGGGGTGGAATCGGCTGCAACTGTCCTGCCGGCCGCTTCCGTGATGATTTCATGACCTGGCAGGTGGGACACGACGCTACGTGTCGTTGGATGTCGGTCAACATTTCTGGCCAGTAATAATACCGCTGCAGCTGCTGCCGTGTTTTTTCTACCCCAAAATGTCCCGAGGTAACTCCGTCGTGTGCCTCCTGTAACAGTAATTCCCGTAGTAGTGTATACCCGGGTACCCAAATGCGGTCGGTCCCGGTTTTTACGTGATAGACCCCTCGTGCTGCTGCGAACTGCTGCGAATTGCCTCCGGTGAAGAATGGGTCTGTTTGATATCCGTGGGTAAATAGTCCTGTCAGTAGTGGGCTAGTCTGGGCGAGTAGTATTGCGTGGATTTGGGCAGTGGGGCGGGTCAGTGCGTCGGCAATGTTGGACGCTCCCTTTTTGTAGGTGACCGTGTAATGGAAATTCGACTCTAGAAAGTCGAGCCAGCGGATCTGTCGTGGGTTGAGGTGGGGTTGTGCGCGGAGATACTGTAGTGATCGGTGGTCTGTCCGTACTGTCACGTCTGCGCCGGTCAAGTAACAGCGCCACACTTTGAACGCATGCACGATCGCAAACATTTCGCGATCGTGTATCGGGTAGTTCTTCTCAGGTGGGTGCAGCTTTCGTGATTCGTATGCGATAGGCTGTAGGCCGTTCCCGAAATCCTGTAGCAGTACGGCTCCGATGGCGATGTCGCTTGCGTCGGTAATGACTTCGAATGGGCGGTGTGGGTCGGCAATGCGCAGGACAGGCGGTGAACAGAGAACATTTTTCAGGGTAGAGAAGGCAGCATGCTCTTTCTCCCCCCACGTAAAAACGACCCCTTTCCGTAGTAGATCCGTCAGTGGGGCAGTTAAGCGTGCCATGTTGGGGACGAACCGACGGACGTAATTAACAAAACCCAAAAAACTCTGCAGCTCCGTGATGTTTGTCGGGGGGTGCCAAGCTTTGACCGTATCCAGCTTCTTCGGGTCAATCTCAACCCCAGCCTCCGAAATAACGTGCCCCAAAAATTCTAACGTATCCTGAAAGAACTCGCACTTAGACCCCTTGGTCAATAACCGATGCTCCTCTAAAATTTTAAACACTGCTTCCAGGTCCGCTAAATGCTGCTGCTTATCGCGGCTGTAGACGAGAATGTCGTCGAGGTAGACTATCACACACTTATCTAAAAGTGGTCTAAACGCCTCGTTCATGATCATCTGGAATGTTGCAGGTGCGTTGGTCAGCCCGAAAGGCATCACGGTATACTCGAACGACCCGTACCTAGTCCTAAAAGTTGTCTTGGCGCAGTCCGATGGTTCGACTCTAATCTGGTGGTAACCTCCCCGTAAATCTATCTTCGAGAACACCCGTGCTGTTCGCAGCTGGTCGATCAGTTCGTCGGCGCGGGGAATGGGGTATCGTGACTTCACTGTAACCCTGTTGAGCGCTCGGTAATCGATGCACATGCGAAACCCTCCATCTTTTTTTGGTGTGAATAGTATCGGTGCGGCGAACGGGGACGAGCTCGGTCGGATAAACTCCTTCGCTAACAGGTAATCTAACTGCTTCCTCAGTTCGTTGAGCTCCGGCTGTGTCAGTCTGAACTGGCGCTGTACAGTTGGCTGTGCCCCCGGCTCTAACTCTATCCTATGGTCGTGCGCCCGCTGAGGTGGCAGTCCTTCCGGTAAGTCGTCGGGGAAAATCCCTGGGTACCGTTTCAATAGCTCCTGTAGTTCAGGCGGTACCGCTGTCAGCAGTTTCTGAAAATCACTCGGCTGCTCAGCTTCTCCTTGTCAAAATCCCAACCACTAGACCATTGGGATAGAAGGGCTTGTTTCAGTAGCGGGTCAGTGCGCCCATAACCCCCCAGGCAAACGCGCCTGTAACCCCCCCTAGGATCGATCGGGGATCTCACAGTGTAGCTCTACTGACACCCCCCCACACTGGGAGGCCCAGGACTGAGCACAGTGGCAACGGCCAACATGTGCATACACCGGGATTCGAACCCGAGACCGCTCTGATACCATGTCAAAATCCCAACCACTAGACCATTGGGATAGAAGGGCTTGTTTCAGTAGCGGGTCAGTGCGCCCATAACCCCCCAGGCAAACGCGCCTGTAACCCCCCCTAGGATCGATCGGGGATCTCACAGTGTAGCTCTACTGACACTCCTACCACTGCGATGTCCACTGCATACACGTCAGCTCCAGCGGCGACTGCCCGTTTCATTGTTATGGCGTTGACGTGGACCGTCGACGACTCAGGCGACTGCCAGCGTGGTAGTTCGACCCAGTTACCACTACTTCGCACGGTGCAGCTGCCTGTCGTCCAGTCGATTCTCGGGTTGTAACGTCGCAACCAATCACGTCCTAGTAAAATGTCGTGCCCATCCAGTGTCGTCGCGAGCATTTCTTGTGTAAACCCGAAGTTCCCTCCGCAACGAACTTTTGCTCTCTCCACCTTCTCCCGTATGGCCAGCGGTGTGCTGTCGACTAAGCGTGCATCAACCTCAGGTAAGCACCGGCTAAGTGTCAGTTGAAGTTTCCGTGCGGTCGCGGTATTAACTAAACTGTGACTAGCTCCTCCGTCGATAAAAATCTTGACTGCTGCTCCCTGTATTTTCCCGTGGATCAGTACTGGGCAATCCGTCGCTGTACCCTCCTTATTCATCCGAGCCCGATCGATAGCGTGGATCGGTACTGTGACTCGGTGAGGGTCGGTGTGGTTGGGCGAGCAGGCAGTCTCGTCAGTAGTTGGCCCAATTTCTACTGACTGCTGGCGTTTCCCTGCCTCTGAGACTCCCTCCCTTGCTCTGCTCCGCGGCGCCTTAGCTCCTCTGGACACTCACTTTTACGATGGCCCGGCCTGTTGCAAGCGAAGCAGCGCCCCTTGAATGGTGCGGCAGCTGCATTCGTCACAACGGCGAGTACGGTGGCGTGCTCGATCGGTCCTCGAGGACGATGTCCGTAGTAGGACCCCGGTCTCGGACGGCGCAAAATGTCGATTTTCTCGGCGATCGCGAGAATCTCGTTGAAATTCGAGAGTCCGCGTAGCATTATTTCCTGCGAGATTTCCGGCTTTAGCCCTCCGACGTAACGGTCCACCCGCTCCGCTTCGTGCATGTAGCCGACCTGCTCGCATAATGCGAGAAAACCGCTCGTATAGTCTTGAACCGACCCGAGCTGCCGCCAAGTGCGCAGTTTCTGACGCGCCGAAATAGAAGCCGCGATCGGCTCGAAGCGCGCCCGAAGCCCTACGCACCACGCATCCCACGTGCTGTATTGGGCGGTTTCGCAGAATGAAATCCAGTTGACTGCTGGGCCCGCGGGCCCTTCCTCTTGCGACGGTGGCTCGTAGGCGCGTGGCGACGTCACGATGACTCGCCACCAGTCCATAGCGGGGCCCCTCAACAGCGAGACGGCGTATCGTATCTTCGCTGCGTCCGACTCGACGTAGTTCGCGTCAAAAAACACGTTCATCGTGAAGATCCACGACTGAACCGTCGGACCACCACGCTGGCTCGGGTCGAAACAGGGCGGGCGCTGCGGCTTGAGTGGCATCGGCGCCATGATTGCCTGGTCGCCTCTTGTTGCCGCAAACTCCACGTGCCGACGGGCTTCACGAGGCTCCCGTGGGCTTGGTGCGGCCCGGTTTCCTCCCATACCAGGCATCGGCTGGGCGGCGCTGTCACTGGCTGCGCCTGAGCGCTGTCCCACGCTGTCGTGCTGTGTTGGTGTGCCGGACGAGATGACAATCGGCTCGTCTGACTGTTCAGGTGCATTTTGTGACGCTGGAGCATTCGCCGCAGATTGCTGACGCGCGGAGTCACGTTCTGCCGTGAGCGTCGCAATCTCGAGTGCTGAATCTTCAACTTGACGGATCAGACGGTCAAGCTGCTCTTGCGTCAACGTCGCGAGCGTAAATTCAGCCATGGCGGGGGTGTCGGTCAAGCGCATTGAGAGCCTCTGTCGTGGCCGTGCGTGCTTACGAGAGAGCACTACGAGCGGCGGTGCTTGATCGCTGAGAGACGTCTACCCCCCCCAAAAAATTGAGATAGTGGGGAAACGAAGGTGTGAATGCGGTCCGAGAAGAGATCGTAGGCTCTGAATACCAAGTGTTACGGGTGCAATGGAGTGAGCGAACGAAGATTGCACTATCGAAACAAGAGTACAATGAGCGAAGGCATGAGCGAAGGATTATATAGCGAAACTATAGTGGTAACGGTAATGGACTGTGGTTGTCGCGCGACGGGCCTGGGACTGAGGTTGGGAAAAGTGTCGAGGCGGAGGTCCGGAGCGCGGGTTACCCCCGAGCCGTGGGGTCGGGGTGCGACATGCGAAAAATGGCGGGCGGATTATTGATGCGAGTGGTAACGGTGCTGACTGAGGTGCTACAGTGATGTACGCGTTGAGCGGGGATGCGAAGTAAGGAAAAGGAATTTTCCTTACATAGCCCCACGTTGTTGCTTTCGAAATGAAATCGCCAATGTTCCCTATCTTTTTTTTTTTTTTGGAATTGGAGTATACATTAAAGAGGACAATGCATACAGCAATAGCAGTCGTAACTGAGCGTAAGGGCAGGCACCTTGCGCTGCCCAGCGAGACAACTAGGGCGGTTGGAGAGCCCTCTTAGGTCTGTTCCAGATGGCCGCAAAGCTGTCCGACCAGCTCCACTTCCTGTCTCCGACTTTCCTGATCCTCATCAGCATCTATTGTTCTGCTTCAAAAACCCCCCTAACCTTTTTGAGTTTCCCCAGCTTGCCCGGCCTCACAACTTTCGCCCCAGTCACTCTCGTGTACACCCTTGCGTGCAGCCGGAAAGCGATCCCGATTCTCCTGAGCACCCGCCGGGTTCTGAATTTTTGCCCACGGAAGCTCGCCTCGCAGCGTTCCACCCACAGCTGGTGGAAGGTGATGGCCGTTAGTGTAGCCTCTGGGAAGTCTGACGTGGTACCAGTTTCCTGGAACAGTAGATCACCGAGCGAGGCAGATGTCCTTGTGGGGTTGAGCATGCGCAAAGCACGCCGGAGACCAGAAACCACAGGCTGAATCACCGGGCAGCTAAAAAGGCAGTGATCCTGTGTCTCAACCTCTCCACAGTACGGGCACTTCGGCTTACTGCTGAGAAAATCCACCCTCTCCCCAACCTGAAGGTTGTGGTTGTGTATACGCGTAAGGACATCACGCGGTCGGTTCGGGATGGCAAGCGAGTTTCTGGTGTGGATGATTCGGTCCCAGTCTATCTTGCCGCTCCACTTGCCGATCCACTTCTCCTGCTTCGTGGAGACCGCGTCTGGCACAGCCCACGATTCCCTCAGCTGCTTCAGGGATGACAGCTGCCCGTTCGTGAAAATCCCCGAACGAAAAATTGTAGCCGCTGCATGTTCGCCACCGCCGCTGTTCCCAGACGAGTTTTGCACCCCAGACCCAGCCCCCTCTCCACTGGCAACCGGGATGAGCACTTCCTTCCATTCCTGCGGGGCTGCATCAAGTGCCTTGAGAGCCAGCCGGGCTGAGTCCCTGCTACGCAGCTCCCGCTCAAGCGTATCCATGTCCTTAATCTCCACCGTACCGTCCTGACGCGTGGTTACCAGGTCACCCAGCCTCGTCCCCCAGAGGCCCTTAGCCTCCTTTTGTCCACCCACTGGGTTCGTGCCGTTCAGAAGCAGCTTCCGGTTAAAAACCACCCTTTCTTGCGCCACCTCCTCTTTGCTGTCTGACTTCCCAGTGTCTGCCATCGGGGATTTCATGAAAGTCTCGCATGTCTGTAACCAGCGCTCGTTTTCTCCCGGCCAGTGCTTCAGCAACCGTTCATGAGCCAGGAACGTGTCCTCTCCGAGCGGTAATCCCGCCGCCTTGAGCATGATTTCCTTTTTTTTCCGGTTCTTCTCCAGCAGCAAGCAGCCAATCCTTCTCGTGGCAAGGCAGGCGAGAAGCACTCATGGGTCTAGAACTCCGAGACCTCCGTCGGCTTTCGGCGTGGTAAGCAGCCCCCAGTTCCACAGCACAAACCCTTTCTCAGCCGATGCATTGTTCCCCGTTAAGAAATTGTGAATCAGCTTAACGAGCTTCTTCCAGATCTCCTCTGACGGGGGATAGACCTGCGCCTGGTATGCTATTCTCGGTGTGATGTAGCAGTTGATAATCACAACCCTCGCCGCAATCGTGAGGAAGAGCGCCTTCCACTTAATCAACTCCACTATTATTTTTTCAAAAGCCCGCTTCCAGGTCGGCTCACTGCTTCCAGAGGGGGTGACCCAGACTCCCAGGACTCTCTCCGCTTCGTCCGCCTTGGCCCATTTAAAGCCACCCAGCGTCCCTGGTCTCCTCCCAATGTTGTGGCCGATTGGGAGGATCACCGATTTGCCCTTGTTCGTCTGCAGCCCTGACAGTCCAGCAAACCAGGCTAACAGCTTCTCAGCCCTGGCGATTTGTCTTTTCCCATCCAAAAAAAGTGTCGTGTCGTCCGCGTAACCGACATACGCTAACCGTTGGTTTGCCTTGTTGCAGAGACCAATCTTCCGACGCTCTGCCTCTTGCGCCAGCGGTTCCACCGCGCAGAGAAACAGGTACGGAGCGAGTGGGCAGCCCTGTCTCACCCCCGACTTAACATCCACTGCTTCCCCCAGCCAACCGTTGATTAACAACCTTGTTCTTGTGTCTTTGTGCAGACCTTCCACCCAGCCGACGAATCTCTCCGGGAAGCCCATTTCCTTGAGGGTGCTGAAAAGGAAGCTTCTAGATGTTAAAGAAACTAGAATGTAAGGGCCTAGGCTTAGGAGCCTAGGCCTAACTTAGGTGTCGAGTGAGTTGGGCCAAAGGGTGAGGGGATCGAGAAAGTTGAAAGATGAAAAGTGGGTTTCACTATAGGTTCAAGGAACATATAGTATAGGAAACAAAAGGGTGCACCACCTAACAAAGTTTGCAATAACTACACTAACTACAGCTACTGGCAATTACAAATATAATTAATATAAAGTCTGACACTCCCCCATAACTGCCTGCAGCAGAAGTTTGTGCAGAACACAACTTGCAGGGGTACACAAGCAACACAAGCAAGATATAAACCAAGCAACAGCAGGTACAGCAGGCGGGCAGACACTAACTGGTCACCCCCTCCATCACCTCACCCTCCTCCCTCCCCTCCCCCACACTGCTGCAGGAGCAGCAGAGAAGGGGGGGAGAGAGGAGAGGCGGAGGGACGGCAGCTGGTTGCCTCACACCCGCCACCCCGGTGCCAATCCCCCTTCTCCCCCACACCCTCACACCCTCCCCCCCAGCAGCAGCTGCAGCAGTGGGAACAAAAGGAGGAGGAGGGGAAGGGAAGGAAACGTCCCAAAGCTCCAACACCCGCCACCCCCATACCCTCCCCCCCACGGCTGCAGGGAAACAAAGGAGGAGGGGGTGGGCGGGTAGAAAGCCGCAGAGCGGCTACCATGTGTCGAGGTAGGGAGGTAAGGGGCGGCTGTAGTTTGAGCAGGTGCGGAAAGGCCCGTCGCTTGCCACGGGGCGCACGACGGGTAAGTTGAAGGTAAGCGAACCGTCGTGTGCCTCGGGGCGCACGACGAGCAGGGCACTGTCGCGTGCCAGAGGCGAGACCGCGACAGCTCAATGCACCGCCGCAGGCGCCTAAGGCGGGTCCGCGACGGCTTAGTGCACCGCCGCAGGCGCCAAAGGCGGGTCCGCGACGGTTTGGAGCACCACCACGGGCGCCAAAGGCGGGTCCGCGACGGCTAAGAGCGCCGTCGCAGGCGCCAGAGGCGGGTCCGCGACGGCTAAGAGCGCCGTCGCAGGCGCCAGAGGCGGGTCCGCGACGGCTAAGGGCGCCGTCGCAGGCGCCAAAGGCGGGTCCGCGACGGGTAGAAAAGAAAAACGTCACGCGCACGAGGCGCGTGACCAGAAATCCAGCAGCGGAAGCATTGGGCGGGCCCACAGGCCAGGACGAAACTGCTCTGATAACCATGTTAAAGAAACTAGAATGTAAGGGCCTAGGCTTAGGAGCCTAGGCCCAACTTAGGTGTCGAGTGAGTTGGGCCAAAGGGTGAGGGGATCGAGAAAGTTGAAAGATGAAAAGTGGGTTTCACTATAGGTTCAAGGAACATATAGTATAGGAAACAAAAGGGTGCACCAGCTAACAAAGTTTGCAATAACTACACTAACTACAGCTACAGGCAGTTACAAATATAATTAATATAAAGTCTGACACTAGACACCGAGTCGAAGGCCTTGCGGAAATCTACCAACAGCATGTACCAGTCTTCATTCCCCTTTTTCGCCGCCTCAATAACATCAGCAACCACACCGATGGCCTCCGAGATTCTCCTGCCGGGAATAAAGCCGTACTGCTCCGCCGAGATCACCTTGTGCAGGTGCATCTTCATCCGGTTCGCCACCACCCGCGCCAGCACCTTGTACGTGAAGTTCAGAAGTGTGATCGGACGATAGTTGTCCAGATTGTCCTTCTCTCCCTTTTTATGGAGCAGAATAGTAATCGCTTCTTTGATGCTTGCAGGAATGGTTGCTGAAACCGAGAAGGATTGCGCCATGCGGAGGAACTCCTTGCCGAGGACATCCCAGTGTCTTTCAAACAGCTCTTTCGGGAGCCCATCCTTCCCAGGTGATTTGCCGTCCGCAAGCGCTTTGAAGGCCTGTTTAACCTCCGCTTCTGTCCAATCTGCTGCAAGCCCAGCCGCCGACGCTGCATCCAACTTTCTCCCAGCAAGCGGTTTCCACCGCTCTGTTGACGTCCGACCGTCAGTGCCGAAAAGGTCCGTGAAATACTGCGTCGCGGCCGTCAGGATCCCGGGTGAGTCAGAAATCTTGACGCCTCCCACCTCCAGCTCTGCAATCTGTGTCTTCTGCTTCCTGACCTTGACTCTCGCCGATAGAAAAGGCGAAGGGACCTCCCCAGCTAACTCCGCATCCGTCCCTGTCATCACGTGAAGTCTGTCCCGTTTTGATGCATGGTACTCTCTCAGCTGCGCGTCCCTGACGTGAAACAGATCTCTCGTCTTTTGACAGCTCGGGTTGCGCATCTGCTCCTGATGTAGCTCCGCCAGATGAGCCGTTGTTTTCTTTACTCTTTTGTTCTCCTCCTTCATGTACGCGCGTAAACCAGCATTGAGCCTCCCAAGTAGTAACTCGAAATTACTATCTCCATCCTCAGCCGCTTTCGCCAAGGCAGCCTCTACCGCTTTCCGGATTCCAGGCTTGCCCAGGGCTGCTGCATGCAGTCTCCAGATGCCAGGCCCCAGGTGAGAAGATGCTTTTATTTTTAAGGCGATTTTGATCCCGAATCCATGATCTGAGATGTACTCCTCCGGCCGTATGTGTGCAGCTATATCAAGATGCGGGAGCAGCGAGCAAGAAACTAGCGCGCGGTCAATGCGAGAGCTGGATTGCTTGGATGCAGCGTAAAAGGTGTACTCTCTGAGCTTAGGGTGAAGCGTGCGGAAAGCGTCTGAGAGTTGAAAGCGGTTGCATCGTGAAATAAGCCTGTCATTTTCTAAGGAAGTGCCTGATTGTGACGTCCGATCTAAAACTGGGTCTTCTACCATGTTCAGGTCTCCCAGGAGAACTACGTGGTCAGTGGTGGGGATCTGGTCAAAAGCCGGGCCGACAACGTTCTTCAAAAAAGAGCATCTGTCAGTGGCATCTGCGGGGAAGTAAGCAGCAATGAGGGTAAGAGTGAAACCGAAGCAGCTAGCGGTAGTTACTATCAGTCTCCCTGATGGGTGTGTGCTGGTGTTCGTGAGAAGGACGGAGGGATCCCTGGTAAGAACGGCAACGCCGCCGGCCTTATCAGTGGGTGGCGTTGTGAGGACTGTGGTGAAGGATGGAGTTTTCCAGTAAGTGTGGTTATCCGGAAGTCTTGTGTCTGTGAGAATGATGATGTCAGCTGCTGTTCTAATCCAGGTTGAGACTCTGTCTTGCTTTGTTTTGTCACCTAGGCCGTTGACGTTAAGGCCTGCTAAGGAGAAGAAATTTTTGTTACTCATTTGATAACTGCCTGGAGGCCCCTGTTCATCCACAGGCCGAAGATGGTGACAACACTGACTACTGCACTCCACCCTACTATCGCCAACAGTACACTGTTCTCCTTCCGCAGCCTCAGAAGCTGTAATCCTTCTTCAAACCGGCAAGAGCAGCCTTGTCCATGGAGGCTTTTGTGGCAGTACCCATCTTCTCCTGGTTCAGCAGGTGAGTCGAAGAGATGATGTGATCCGCCGCAGCCAAGAAAGTTTTCCCCTTCGCCTTCCCGCAGCACACTTGCGTGCAGATCCATTCTTCGCGGTTGCTGCCGGTCGAGACAAGAGCGATGGATGGGTCTTTCAGTATGGGGGTGACAAGAGCGGAGGTGCGCAGAGAAGCAGCTGCGAGCACAACAGAGATTGTCAGTGAGAGATGAGAAAGGTAAGTCTGCGATGTAATGAAGAAAGCTGATGCAGTTACCATTGATACTATGAGCTTTCCCCAAGGTAAGGTTCCACTTCCCTATATTGTTCTGCCGCTCTGTGATGAACAGATCATGATAAATGTCATAATGCTATCCATTGCAGAGCTAACAGGACAGTGCAGGGTAGTGGACCATAAGCTTCTCTCCGGACCCCATCGGGCTGTCGACCATGTGGCGCCAGCGATAACGATCCCCAGGATGCTGCACGACCAGGCCTTTGATAACATCGGTGTCAGCTCCGGTGAGTGGGTGAGCCACCCGATGGAAACCAAACCCTTCCTTGAAAGCCGACTGCTGACGCTTCTTCAGTTTGAAACGGACAAGTAGGTCCTTCAAAACATCCGGGACAATGTTAGCAGGCACTCGCCGGAACACCACTTCAATAGCAAGGGGACGAGCAGCCTTCTCCTTAAGGTACGAAGCGTTCTCTGTATGCTGCCAGATGCACTTGATCGCCGGAGCATTCGCCTTCTGGTACTCAAAAACATGAAACTTGATGTGATGTGCATCCCGTTCGTCAAGGAAGGAGATTTGAAGCCGGCAGAATCGTGTCTTCGCGACGAAACCAGGTATCATCTCCTGTATGTTAGCCGTCACCCCAGCGTTCTCGGTTAGAGAAGAGCTCCAGACCTTGGTCATCAGAAGACGCACTGCAGCAATAATGGCCTTAATCTCCTGAGAAAGCACCATCGGAATGAGTAAGATTGCTGTATAACGAAGACGAAAAGCATCTTCCTTGGCAATGTCGATCTCCAGCTCTTCATCCTCATCATCCTCCAGGAACTCGTCAAGCACAGCAGCAGGAGCCTGGTTGTCTTGAAACTTCTCTTCCACTGATAGTCCAGAACCACCAGCGACGTCAGCAGCAGTAGTAGCCGATTCCTTGACGGACTGCGCAGCATTGTCCGTGACTGCATTAACAGTAACCGCATCGTTTGAGCCTTGCTTCTCAGCCCCATCCACAACAGGAGCCGGCGTGGTGATCGGATCCGTTAGGAGGTCGTCCGGGAGCGTGACATCAGCAGTGACCTTCGACGTCCGTTTCGGAGGCATGGTGCGATGATGAGTCTCAGAAAGCAGCCGTTTGAGAAAAGGCTGAGACCAAAAAGGAGCTGATGCTGCTTGAGGACTGAGCACCACCTCCTTATAAAAGGTTTTCGGAGCTCGTGACTTGCTCTCCTGAAGGAAATGATGAACTCCCGAGGTCGTAGCCTTAGGATCATGTCTTGCATAGCGATCAGGAGTGTAGTTGTTTCTGTTAATAATTTCATTGCAGTTGCGATGTCCATTGTAGGAGCCTTTGAAACTGCCGGAAGTATCAAGGAACCCTTGAGGTTGGTTAGCTTGAAATGTGTTTGGAACACTGAGATACCTCTGAGTAGCCGAGGTTATAATGTCCGCGTAGTAGACATAAAATTTATATCCTCCGCTTCGTAATGTACTCAGGAACTCGAAAATGGTCTCAGAGTTACGAACTGATAAGTAACCTTCACGAAATAGGTTCTCGTTAATCCGCGGAGAAATCCATGGCGGCCAGGACATCTTGGTCAATTCACTGCCAATCAATAATGTTCCCTATCGAACGTCCCCATAACGGATTTTCATCAGCCCGTCATGCACTGGTCCTCCCCACCCCTCTCCCCTTCCCCAAGGATTGAGAGAATTTCTCCAGACCCGGAAACGGTGATTTGCCGTTGCACACGTGGCCTCGAATTGCTACCGTGGTCGGACAATTCGATGATAATTGCTCGAGTGGTCTTGCCAGAGGTTTCCTCCGGCTTTTTTTTTATCCGGCAAATTACCCAATACCGGTTTTTAGCCCTGCAATTCGTACGTCGAACGTGTCTCTTCCCGCGAAAACGTGGCGTACTATTTTCCGCCCGAAATTTCCGGCTGGGTGACGTGCGCGAGGGTGGCCACGTCACCGTTCGAATACTCGACAAAAATCAACAGTCGCGCTCATTTTCGGTCCAATTCTTAACCAATCCGCGCATTGTAATATGATTCCCCGATCATATACTCAGTTGCACGGATGTCAGTACGCGCGACCAATTACAGAGTGCGCCTGATTGGTCGACTTCATGCGCGGGGCATTTTCTGACCTTGCGCGTCCAATCAGATCGCGCTCATATAGGGTCCGCGCATTTACCTATATGAGCGAGCATATGTGATGCTCGAATGTGTGTGTTATCTGTTTCATTAATATAAAACTATATTACTGAATTCGAGAGATGTTATCAGTAGTGATAACGCCGGTAGTGATAACGTCTCTCGAATTCAGTAATATAGTTTTATATTAATGAAACAGATCACACACACATTCGAGCATCACATATGCGCGCTCATATAGGTAAATGCGCGGACCCTATATGAGCGCGATCTGATTGGACGCGCAAGGTCAGAAAATGCCCCGCGCATGAAGTCGACCAATCAGGCGCACTCTGTAATTGGTCGCGCGTACTGACATCCGTGCAACTGAGTATGTGATCGGGGAATCATATTACAATGCGCGGATTGGTCAAGAATTGGACCGAAAATGAGCGCGACTGTTGATTTTTGTCGTGTATTCGAATGGTGACGTGGCCACCCTCGCGCACGTCACCCAGCCGGAAATTTCGGGCGGAAAATAGTACGCCACATTTTCACGGGAAGAGACACGTTCGACGTAAGAATTTCAGGGCTGAAAACCGGTATTGGGTAATGTGCCGGATAAAAAAAATGCCAGAGGAAACCTCTGGCAAGACCACTCGAGCAATTATCATCGATTTGTCCGACCACGGTAGCAATTCGAGGCCACGTGTGCAACGGCAAATCGCCGTTTCCGGGTCTGGAGAAATTCTCTCCCAAGGATTTCGCAAATGCAATATCGCTCCCAGCCACTCCCCCCGATTTCGAATGCCTGTGCCTTGCGAACTGTAACCCTCGCAACCACTCACAGAACTTTGTACGGTTGTGCGATGACCTGGGAGTGATTGCTGTGACGGTCGTTGGCTCTACTGTACCTACGATGCTCGCCAGCCTCGCCGAAACCCCAGCATCGTGTGTCGTTGGTGCGACGGCGATCAGAGCGAGCGGAAGGCTTGTTGAAGAAACATCACAGCAGCGGTGATGTTCCTTGACGCTGACGCTGCCGCTGATCCTGATGTTCTATTTCAGCCTATTCTCTTCACCTGAGATGAGACTGATTTTTTATGCTGGTAGGTATCGTTTTCTGGTCCTACCCATTAGGTTCCAGAAGAGAGTCGTCGGAGGGAACAATACTACCACTATGAAGACTCCCACACGCATCGACAGTCTTCCTGACGAGATTCTTGTAAAGATCTTCTGGTTCTCCGAAGCCGCGTATGATGCTCAAAGAGATTATTATCACCATCTTTTTAGGGAATCCACGATGACGCTAGCTAGACGCGATAGTAGTAACTATTCTCGAAACGCTGACCTGAAAGAGCTCTATAACCCAAACATTGTCACTAGGTTACCGATTCCTCCTGATTTTAGAAACACCGCTCACAATCATCTGATAGCGTCCACCTGCAGTAGATGGCGTCGGCTGGCTAAGCTTCATGTATCCACGTTCGTCATGGTATCGTGGCGTGGTTCTCCCCAGAATCTCCAAAGTTCCATCACGTGCTTCCCGAATCTGACGCATCTGCACCTCGGGAACGTGACGTCTTTGGACGATTCCCTTTTGGCTCACCTCGCCTGCAGTAAGCTGAAGTCGTTCCACTTACAGACATACTCCATGCAGACGCAACTGATTGATCTTGGCCTGGACCATTTCTTCCGCCATTCCACACAACTGGAGAGTCTATCGCTGCTCTGTCTTCATGGAAAATACAGGCTTCCTTTATCCTTGTTCCAGCTGCCGCACTTACTAACGCTGATTGTGGACGATAATTCAGTCCTCAGGGTTCCAGAAATTTTGAACCTTACTTCTCTCACGGCGCTCTCGATTGACTCGCCGAGTGTGGATTTTGCGCTGCTATCAAGCATCGTTCATCTCACTAAGCTTCGCAGCCTTTCTGTGCCTCGTCTCAGGGTGACGAGGCCTTCTGCTGCCTTCTCGTTCGCACAGCTTCTTTCTCTGACTTCCTTGAAAGCTAGAGTACTTTATGGTCAATTCGACCAGCTCTTCTCATCCCGGTGCAGTGCACTGGAACAACTGCAACTCAGTTTCGATCATATGGAGAACATTTCTGAGAATGTTGGAGAGCTGATGCCGGGTCTTAGAGAGCTGAGCATCAACCGTTGCAGTCATGTTGATCGGCTCTCTTCCCTGAGCTGCCTAAGGAGCCTGACACTCTCAAGTTGCAGTGTGTCCACGCTACCTGACGACTTTGGAGAGTTGAGTGACTTGAAAAAGTTGGCGCTGTTCAGGTTGCCACTTACCCATCTTCCTGCTTCCTTCAGCCTGCTCACATCCTTGGAGTCCCTTCTGCTGGTTGATTGCAGCGAGGTTACTGAGCTACCAGTAGGATTCGGTTCCCTAACGAATCTCAAGTCGCTGTGCATCGTGAGTTTGCCGCAACTGCTACTCCCTGAAGACATTGGAGGCCTAGCTAGCCTGGAGACATTACTTTTAGAAAAGGTTCATCAGCCACTTCCGTCCTCGTTCACGCAGCTGTCGTCCCTGAGCAGGCTTGACATCATCGGGTGCAACATACCTGAGCTTCCCAATAGACTGGGCGAGCTGAGGAGCTTGCGGAAGCTATCCATAGTTTGCTGCGATAAACTTGAGGTGCTTTCAGAATCCATCACGGCTCTTGCGGGTCTTGAATACATCGATATTAGAGGCTGCAGGGGAATTTCTCCAGTATTCAGAATGAGCAGCTGATTCCTGGGTATTCTTTGCAGTGCCACCACATTGATTACACCTCAGCGATTCAAAGAGTTGGCAATTTTTTTTTTGGTTTTTGTTTCCTTACAAACTTCAGGAAATTCTGGTTGTTTTGATGGACGTTTGTTTGTTCAGATCAGGAATAAAAAACATAATTTCATGTCAGGAATGACAATAATGCTTACAACAGGATAACATACCAGCAGTTCATATAATGAAGTTTGAGCAAGAGTGTGTTATCATGCCACTTCTCGTGCTGTCATGCACATCATGCATTTGTGCATGCAGTCTTGGCAATGCGCATGAATAAAAATATTATAGTACCGTACAACTATGGTAGGGGAGAAACAAAGCACGACAAGTACTGTATAACGGTCATATCCTGCCCACGAGAAAAAGGGGGTGTGGGGGTGGAACAGCAATCCAGGGGCTAATCCTTCAAGCATTTATCTTTGGCCGTGCAGTTGGATGGGGAAAGGAGGGAGAAAGATCGGCAAGGAGAGAGAAAGACCCGCACGAGCATGGGAAAGCGAGTGCGAGACATGGCGGGGAGAAGTACTGGGCTGTAGTGACACACCATGAGGAACTAGTATAGTGGGTGGGCCACTACAGCCCAGCACTTCACCCCACCCCCATGAGAATGTGTGGGTGGGGTGGGGGGGTGGGTGCGGGGATGCAGGGAGAAGTAACGAGCATGGGCAAGCAAGGGAGAGTGGGGAGAGGTGCACACTGCAGCGCCCTGCCATTATGCACTGGAATAGCTGAGGGGGCGTGTGTGGGGTGGAATGGAGGCACTGTCCTCACCTCACAATAAGCAGAACAGCAAGGCGAGGGCCAAAGGGACAGGTGAGCGAGAGAGGGACGAGGGACGAGTGATCGAAGCGGGGAGAGCAGGGGACGAAAGAGCGGGAGAGGGAAGAGCGGGGGAGGGAAGAGCAGGAGAGGGAAGAGCAGGAGAGGGAAGAGAGGGAGAGGGAAGAGCGGGAGAGGGACGAGCAGGAGAGGGAAGAGAAGGAAAGGAAAGGAGGTAGATGCGAGTGAGGTAGGTGGGAGAGAAATGGTGACTGATGGGAAGGAGGGGTGGTGGGGAGGGATGGGGAGGGCCAAAAAGTGGCAAGGTACAAGTTAGTTTTTCTTTGAAACACAGTGGGTGAGTGGGGGAGGGGGTGCCAGTGGGAGGGACCGGTGGGACAGCCAGGAGGGGCCAGAGGGAAATTCAATGAGGTGGGTGAGAGAAAAGTTGTGGGTGATGGGAGAAGGGGGATTGGGGTGCAACGCTGTAGAGTGTCAGTCCCTGTTACCAGTAATCATGCGTTTTGCCAACTTAAGTGATACCACAGCAGGGCATGCACCATGCACGGAGTATCGGACACCTTGAAAACAACGCTGCGGGGCATTCAGCCGGGCAGCATTCACCTGGCCGGCATTCAGCCTCTCGCAAATCAACACAGCCGAATCACCTGAAAGTGACCTGAGAGTGACGTGAGAGCGACCTAAAAGTGACCTGGGAATCACCAGACGGTGACTTGCGAGTCACCTGGAAAAGACCTGAGAGCGATCTGAAAGTGACCTGCTAGTGACCCACTGATGACCCATAACTAGCAGGTCACCCGGTGAAGGCCCATGCTCCTCCTACCACCCACACACCTTCTTCACCCACCAGTGGGCAGCAGCAGTGAACCATCACAGCCCACTACCTTCCTCGCCCCACGCACCTCCTCCTCCCGCTGCTCCGCCGTGGGGAACAACATCGCCACGGGGAAACTTGCAGCCCTGCACCTCCTGCGCAGCTCTGCCATGCCAGCAGCTCCCAGGTTGCTCGTGAACAGTGGGATCACGCCAAGGACCGGGAATCCGTGGGGCGGACGTCGGTTAATCCGTGGGATGGGAGTTGGTGTAGGAGAGGCAGGTGTGGAGCTGGAGGGAGAGGGGAACGAGAGAGGGGAGGTGGGGGGACAAGAGAAAACAGCACAGTGGTTTGTGAGAAGGGTACGATGGGAGACATTGAGGTAGGCGGCGAGTCCGCGCAGTGGGGCAGAAGCTGGAGTAGGAGAAGCAGGTGCTGAGCAGGAAAGTGGGGGAGGGGAGGAGGAGAAAGGAGGGGAAAGGAACAGTGCAACGCTTGTATCACTTTTGAGGAATCTCTAGTGGCCATGAGAGAAAGTGCGTACGAAAGGCGGGAAGTAGTAATAGATGTGGAGAGAAGTGGCGGGAATGAGTGCAGTGGGGCAGTAGTCAGTTAGGAGCAACAGGTGCGGAGTTGGACGACGGAGCGGGGGAGGGAGTTGGGAGAGGGAGGGAGCAGGGAAGGAGGGAAGGGAGCTGCGCCATGGTGGGACGGGTAGCAGGAGGGCTCAGGCGGGCGGGCGACACGTGGCAGGAAGGAAGACAGGGGGGGGGGGGACCAGTGGCGGTGTAGGAGACGCGGGAGCACAGATGGGACGGACGACAGTCATTACGTTTCTGCTGTCGACGGTGGTGGTGCAAGAGTGGGTGCGAGGCATCACCGTGACGAGGCGAGGGCCGAGGCCTGACACCCGCGCAAAGGTGGTGCAGGCGGTGTGGTAATGTCCAGTCCAGCTTGACAGTGACATGCATGCGCGGTGGTGATTACTGCACTCGCCCATCGCACGCCCAGCCAATCCAATGGAACCGCGTGAATTCGATGCGAATCGCAAGACAATTCGTGGCAGCGGCTGGCGCTGCGAGGGTTGGGATCAGGGGAGGGGTAGGAGATTGGGGTCAGGGGAGTCGGAATGGGTAAGGGAAAGGGAAGGGTTAATAGGAGGGGGGTTTGGAAGGGGAGAGGTAGCCAGAAAGCATAATGGCAGGGGTACGGGGAGGGAGAGTGGGTAAAGAAGGGGGAGGGGGGTAAGTGAATGCGAATGCATAAGGGTAAAGAAAGGGCTGAAGAGAAAGGTTCAATATTGCTCTGAGATGATGCCTTGGCGAGCAGTAGTGGCTGTGCGGGTGGGTGAGAGAGGCCATGGGAACAGCAAGCAGGAGCAGAGAAGAGCTGGAGGGGTCAGGGATGGGGGAGTTTGGAAGGGGTGAGAAAAGGGTCTTGGGCAAGGGTACGTGGGAAGAGCTACAAGGGTGGGAGGGTGGGCATCACATCCACAGATGAAGCCGAAACACATTGACCCGGACATGTGGCCAGGGGAGGAGGAAGTTGAAAGGGATGGAGGAGGTCCTGAGAGGGGATGGGAAACGGGATGGGAATAAAGAAAGGGGTGGGGACGGGAACGTGTAAGGGGGAGGGGATGGGGGGACTACGATGGAGAGTGACGACCGTTGCACTATGCGCACCTGGCAGTGGGATAGAACGGTGAGAATGTTGAGAGCGATACGGTAAGGGAAGGAAGGGGATGGGGTTTTGGGGGAGTTGCCACTTAGGGTAAATTGCTACCACTGCCATATGGAACTGAAGCACAGGGAAGTCATGCACATGACATTTAGGCACATGGCATTCAGGCACATGGCATTCAGGCACATGGCATTCAGGCACATGGCACTCAGGCCGTGACATTCAGGCACATGACATTCAGGCATTTAGCCTTTTAAGGATGAATCTCAAACAGATCTGAACCAACTGAGAGTCACCTCCTTAATCGCACCACGCACCTCCTTCCCTGCACCACGCACCTCCTTCCCTGCACCACGCACCTCCTTCCCTGCACCACGCACCTCCTTTCCTGCACCACGCACCTCCTTCCCTGCACCACGCACCTCCTTCCCTGAACCACGCACCTCCTTCCCTGCACCACGCACCTCCTTCCCTGCACCACGCACCTCCTTCCCTGCACCACGCACCTCCTTCCCTGCACCACGCACCTCCTTCCCTGCACCACGCACCTCCTTCCCTGCACCACGCACCTCCTTCCCTGCACCACGCACCTCCTTCCCTGCACCACGCACCTCCTTCCCTGCACCACGCACCTCCTTCCCTGCACCACGCACCTCCTTCCCTGCACCACGCACCTCCTTCCCTGCACCACGCACCTCCTTCCCTGCACCACGCACCTCCTTCCCTGCACCACGCACCTCCTTCCCTGCACCACGCACCTCCTTCCCTGCACCACGCACCTCCTTCCCTGCACCACGCACCTCCTTCCCTGCACCACGCACCTCCTTCCCTGCACCACGCACCTCCTTCCCTGCACCACGCACCTCCTTCCCTGCACCACGCACCTCCTTCCCTGCACCACGCACCTCCTTCCCTGCACCACGCACCTCCTTCCCTGCACCACGCACCTCCTTCCCTGCACCACGCACCTCCTTCCCTGCACCACGCACCTCCTTCCCTGCACCACGCACCTCCTTCCCTGCACCACGCACCTCCTTCCCTGCACCACGCACCTCCTTCCCTGCACCACGCACCTCCTTCCCTGCACCACGCACCTCCTTCCCTGCACCACGCACCTCCTTCCCTGCACCACGCACCTCCTTCCCTGCACCACGCACCTCCTTCCCTGCACCACGCACCTCCTTCCCTGCACCACGCACCTCCTTCCCTGCACCACGCACCTCCTTCCCTGCACCACGCACCTCCTTCCCTGCACCACGCACCTCCTTCCCTGCACCACGCACCTCCTTTCCTGCACCACGCACCTCCTTTCCTCGGTCCACTCACCTCCCTTTGGCCAACAAGCCCACCTCGTGTTCCCGCTGCGCGTCCCTGAGGAGGAAAACTGGCACGGCGCCACCCAGCAGTGCGCAGGTTGCACAACAGAATGCAGGTTACCCGAAGACTCAGCAGCCCGGGAGGGGAAAGGGGAGAAAGTAGGTAAGCGGAAGGGGGAAGGAAGGAGAGAAGGAAAGTAGCAGCGTCTTTTGAGAGAGATGCGAAAGACAAGGTGGGTGGGGGTGGGGGTGGGAGGCTGGGGGAGAGAGGGATGTAGGGGAATGAACGGGAAGGGACGGACCAATGCCTAGGGCGCGGGACGAAGCCGGGAGTAAGGGCGTGTGACAATTTCCCATCTTGCCCGTCCGGACAAGACTTGGTCCGGACATTTTAAGGGTTACCCGCTTCGTTAGTTCTCGTGGGGTTTTTCGTTAGGAGGCGAGGAGGAGGGGCAGGGGATAACTGGAGAAGAAGGGGGCAGGGGAGGGGGAGGGAGTAAGGGAAGGGGGAGGGAAGGAAGGGGAGGGGGTAAGGGTTAATGGACAAAGCCTCGCCCAGCCTTGCCTCGCACATTACCTACCAGTGATCACAAGCATCAAGCACCCCGTCCCACTACTCCTCACCCACTCAAAACACACCTCCTTGTCCTTTTGCTCGTCCCTCCTTAAAAACAGTCATGTGGTGGCACTCAGCAGCCCAGCTTCACCGGAAGCCTCTCTTGCGCACCTGCACCACGTCAGCAGCCTTAGTTCGGGTGAGCAGTGCGTTCGCGCCATAGCGTGAGAGTCGGTAGGCCAGGAGTTGGTGTAGGAGCAGCAGGTGCGGATCTGGGGAGGTGCGACTTGTAAGATGTTCAGGCCGAGGCGAAACTGCCCAAGTTTGGGAGCGGTCAATTGGAACTCCAGCACCGCGGCCTCGAATGATTAATTCGAAAGAAAGCGCTCTGTACAATTCAAGTGTAAGAACGGTAGGTAGCAATTTTGGAACTAGAACAGTTTGCCATTCTGCAGCACCTGCAGCGCCGCATGTAGCCCTCACGTACCTCGGCCTCTGCCTGCCACCATGCTTCCCTTCACTGGAGACGTCTCAAAGCCACACCGCACCCTTCACATCCACGCACACTCACACAGCTCCTAGCCCAGCCTAGCCCGGCTGCACAGGCAGTCACGCACTGACAAACCTTTTCTACCACTGCAGGCAGTGCACAGACAATCGCTGCAGGCGGCCCAGCTCGGGCAGCGATGGAGCAGACAAACCTTTGTGGCGCTCCTCCGCCACAAAGTGAAGCGCAACTATCTCGGCTCTCTCTGCCTCCCTAGCACACTGTTTACTATACGGCATAACGTGGCATGCAACGGTATGACGTACCATGTGCATCATGTATGCACCACAAGGTGACGCACCTGAATGGGCCTGTCACAGCGGCTGATCGCTCAGCCGCACTTTATGTTTGTACGGGAAGGGAGGGGAGACGGCGTATGCTCGTATGAATGGCGCGGTGGATGGAGGATTGGATAGCTGCTGCCGGGAGCGAAGAAGGGGAGGAAATGGGAGGAGAAGGGGTACGGGCGAATATCAGCGAGACACAATGCGCTGATGTGGGATACACACATGCGACTCACATGTTGCGAGGCTGGATGGATGGGATGGGGGGGCGGTGCGAATGGGGGCTGGGTTAGAAGTAAGAATCAGATTTTGGGAGGGGAGGGAAGGAAACCAAGGGGAGATGCGGGACTGAATCTCAACTCACCTGGCCTGCCTATCAGCTCCTCTCCACTCACTCTCACAACTATTCCGCTGCCACTCTCAGCGACTCCCCACCGACTCCTGGCTGAATCTACAAAATTCTCACATTGGCAACATCCAGTCATTCAACCGCCTCCATTCCACCCTAGCCCGAGTGACACGGGTAGTAACTCGAGAGATTCCTACACGCATTTCCCCCGCTCTACACCGATTCCCACCTTGTCAACTGCCTCCCGGGCCCCTTCCCCACTCATCCTGCATGACCTCCGCCAGCCCCATCCGCAATCCCCGTTACATCGCCCGCCCATCGCTGCCAGCGCCGCTTGCGCTGCTTGCGCGAATGGCGATTCGCCTCAAACAAGCAACGGCGAGCGCCAAGAGAAGGCCTGCGATTGATGACGTTCGACGGTTGGTGAGCAAAACGCAGGCAGGAACCCCACGACTGAAACTAGTTCGATTCCCCCTTCACCGGGGATCAATCGATTGATCCTAACCGTAGCTAGGTGAATCGCGACCCGGCTGCAGCAGCGCTGACTCAAGACACGCCGGAGGACGAGAAGCGGAAAGAGGGAGGGTGCGTGAGAAGAAAGAGGGATTCGGGATTCAGGAGCGACTCTGCTCGCCCCGGCTGCCGAGCCGCTAGTGGCGTGGCTGATGCGCAGAATCCGATAGTTGATGACATCTGTCCCTTGACATTGCAAACGAACAATGACTAAAGAGATTCTCGTCGCGTGCGAATGTTACAAGTAGTGCAGTCATCGTAGCAAGTTCCTGCTGAGCTAGTAGAAGCTTGATGGTGGATGGAATGACGTGCTTGGCCAGGTTGTATTGGAATTTGAGGGCGCGTTACATTATTGTTGTAAGGAAAATTCCTTTTCCTTAATTCGCATCCCTGCTCAACGCGTACATCACTGTAGCACCTCAGTCAGCACCGTTACCACTCGCGACCATCGCATCATTTCATCATCCCGCCCTTTTCGCACATCGCATCCCGACCTCACGGCTCGGCTGGTAACCCGCGCTCCGGGCCTACGCTTCGACACTTTCCCAACCTCAGTCCCAGGCTCGTCGCGCGACCATTACCGTTACCACTGTAGTTTCGCTATATATTCTTCGCTCATGCCTTCGCTCATTGTATTCTTGCTTCGATAGTGCAATTCTCGTTCGTTCACTCAATTGCACTCGTAACACTTGGTATTCAGAGCCTACGATCTCATCTCGGACCGCATCCACACCTTCGTTTCCCACTATCTCAATTTTTTGGGGGGGGTAGACGTCTCTCAGCGACACAGCACCGCCGCTCGTAGTGCTCTCTCGAAAGCACGCACGGCCACGACCGAGGCTCTCGCTGAGCTTGCCCGACACCCCCGCCATGGCCGATTTCAATCTCGCCACGTTGACGCAGGAGCAACTCGATCGTCTCGTGCGTCAATTGGAGGATTCGGCGCTCGAAATCGCGACTCTCACGGCGGAACGTGACTCCGCCCGTCAACAGTCAACGGTGAACGTACCGACGACATCACACGCACCAACCAATGCATCTGCACATTCGGAGGAGCCCATCGTCATCTCATCCGGCACACCAACGCAACACAACAGCACGGGACAGCGCTCAGGCGCAGCCAGTGACGGCGCAGCCCAACCGATGCCCGGCATGGGAGGGAACAGGAGCGCATTAAGCCCACGGGAGCCCCGAGAAGCCCGTCGGCACGTGGAGTTTGCGGCGACAAGTGGCGAGAACGCCATGATGGCCCCAATGTCACTCAAGCCGCAACGCCCGCCCTGCTTCGACCCAAGCCAACGCGGCGGCCCGACAGTTCAATCGTGGGTCTTCACGATGAATGTGTTTTTCGACGCCAACTACATCGAGTCGGACGCCGCCAAGATCCGGTATGCGGTTTCACTACTCAGGGGCCCCGCCATGGACTGGTGGCGAGTCATTGTGACGTCGCCGCGCGCCTACGAGCCACCGTCGCACGAGGAAGGGCCCTCGGGTCCAGCTGTTACCTGGAGTTCGTTCTGCGAAACCGCCCAATACAGCACGTGGGATGCGTGGTGCGCAGGGCTTCGGGCGCGTTTTGAGCCGATCGCGGCCTCGATTTCGGCGCGTCAGAAACTGCGCACTTGGCGCCAGCTCGGGTCAGTTCAAGACTACACCAGCGGGTTTCTCGCACTTTGCGAACAGGTCGGCTACATGCACGAGGCGGAGCGGGTGGACCGTTACGTCGGAGGGCTGAAGCCGGACATCTCGCACGAGATAATGCTACGCGGGCTCTCGAATTTTAACGAGATCCTCGCGCTCGCCGAGAAAATCGATATCCTACGCCGACCGAGACCGGGGTCCTATTACGGACACCGTCCTCGGGGACCGACCGAGCACGCCACTGTACATGCCGTCGCAGCGAATGCAGCTGCCGCGCCGTTTAGAGGGCGCTGCTTTGCTTGCAACCGGCCGGGCCATCGCAAGAGCGAATGTCCAGAGGAGCTGAGGCGTCGAGGAGCAGAGCAGGGGAGGGAGTCTCAGAGGCAGGGAAACGCCAGCAGTCAGTAGAAGTTGGGCCAACTACTGACGAGACTGCCTGCTCGCCCAACCACACCGACCCTCACCGAGTCACAGTACCGATTCACGCCATCGATCGGGCTCGGATGAATAAGGAGGGTACAGCGACGGATTGCCCGGTACTGATTTACGGGGAAATACAGGGAGCAGCAGTGAAGATCTTCATTGACGGAGGAGCAAGCCACAGCTTAGTTAATACCGCAACCGCACGAAAATTACAGTTAACGCTTAACCGATGCTTACCTGAGATAGACGCACGCTTAGTCGACGGCACGCCCCTGGCCATACGGGAAAAGGTGGAGCGCGTAAAAGTCCGCTGCGGGGGGAACTTCGGGTTTACACAGGAAATGCTCGCGACGACACTGGATGGGCACGACATTTTATTAGGACGTGATTGGCTGCGACGGTACAACCCACGGATCGACTGGACGACGGGGAGCTGCACAGTGCGAAGTAGTGGTAACTGGGTCGTTCTACCTCGCTGGCAGCCACCCAAATCTTCGACGGTTCAGGTCAACGCCATCACGATGAAACGGGCTGTCGCTGCTGGAGCTGACGTGTACGCAGTGGATATCGCACTCGTAGAAAAAGATGAGCAGCCGAGTGATTTGGAGAAACTGCTGGCAACTGTACCGACCGAACTACAGGCACTACTGAAACAGTTCCCGGGGATATTTCTGGATGATTTACCACAGGGATTGCCACCTCAGTGGGCGCACGACCATAGGATCGAGTTAGAACCGGGGGCACAGCCAACTGTACAGCGGCAATTTCGACTGACACAGCCCGAGCTCGACGAGTTAAGGAAGCAGTTAGATTACCTGTTAGAGAAGCAGTTTATCCGACCGAGCTCGTCACCGTTCGCCGCACCGATACTGTTCACACCGAAAAAAGACGGAGGGTTCCGCATGTGCATCGACTACCGAGCGCTTAACAGGGTAACAATCAAATCGCGATACCCCATTCCCCGCGCCGACGAATTAATCGACCAACTGCGAACAACACGAGTCTTTTCGAAAATAGATTTACGGGGAGGTTACCATCAGATTCGGGTCGAACCATCGGACTGCGCCAAAACAGCATTTAGGACTAGGTACGGGTCATTCGAGTATACAGTAATGCCATTCGGGCTGACGAACGCGCCTGCGACATTTCAGATGACCATGAACGAGGCGTTTAGACCACTTTTAGATAAATGCGTGATAGTTTACCTGGACGATATTCTAGTTTACAGCCGGGATAAGAAGCAGCACTTAGTGGATCTTGAAGCAGTTTTTAAGGTTTTGGAGGAACATCGGCTACTCACCAAGGGCTCCAAGTGCGAGTTTTTTCGGGACAGGCTAGAGTTTTTGGGTCACGTCATTTCGGAAGCTGGGGTTGAAATTGACCCAAAGAAGCTGGATACAGTAAAAGCGTGGCGCCCCCCGACGAACATCACGGAACTGCAGAGTTTTTTAGGTTTTGTTAATTACGTTCGACGGTTCGTGCCCGACATGGCACGTTTAACAGCCCCACTCACTGATTTACTGCGTAAGGGGGTCGCTTTTACGTGGGGGGAGAAAGAGCATGCTGCCTTCTCTGCCCTGAAAAACGTTCTCTGTTCACCACCCGTTCTACGCATCGCCGATCCCCACCGCCCTTTCGAAGTGGTTACCGACGCAAGTGACATCGCCATCGGAGCTGTACTGTTACAGGACTTCGGCGACGGCCTCCAACCCATCGCCTACGAATCACGCAAACTACATCCACCTGAGCGAAATTACCCGATACATGACCGCGAAATGCTCGCGATCGTGCACGCATTCAAAGTGTGGCGCTGCTACTTGACCGGCGCAGACGTGACAGTACGGACAGACCATCGATCTCTACAGTACCTCCGCGCACAGCCCCACCTCAACCCACGGCAAATTCGATGGCTCGATTTCCTCGAGTCGAATTTTCACTATACGGTCACATACAAAAAAGGAGCCTCGAATATCGCCGACGCACTGACCCGCCCCACTGCCCAGATCCACGCGATACTACTCGCCCAGACCAGCCCGCTACTGACAGGCCTATTTACCCACGGATATCAAACAGACCCGTTCTTTACAGGAGGCAACTCACAGCAATTCGCAGCGGCAAAAGGAGTCTATTACGTAAAAGCTGGAACCGACCGCATCTGGGTACCAGGATACACGCTACTGCGGGAACTACTGTTACAGGAAGCACACGACGGAGTTACCTCGGGACATTTCGGGGTAGAAAAAACACGGCAGCAGCTGCAGCGGTACTACTACTGGCCAGAAATGTTGACCGATGTGCAACGACACGTGGCATCATGCCCCACTTGCCAGCTCATGAAGTCAAGCAGGAAGCGGCCGGCGGGACAATTACAACCCATCCCGCCCCCAGAGCGTGCTTGGCAGCAGGTGACGATGGATTTCGTCACGGGGTTACCAGCTGGGGCGAGTGGGAATGACGCGATCCTGGTCGTCGTCGATCGACTAACGAAGATGGCTCATTTCGCAGCATGCAGGAAATCAATCACAGCCGAGGAAACCGCCCGACTCTTCATCACCACCGTCGTTCGACTGCACGGGATACCCGCATCGATCATCAGCGACCGAGACACGAAATTTACAAGCAACTTCTGGCGGAACCTGTGGCAGCAGTTCGGCACGCGCTTACAGTTCAGTTCATCCTATCACCCCGAAACCGACGGACAGACGGAACGGACAAATCAGACCATGGAGCAGCTGATTCGAG